ACGGTACGAGGGGTCTGTCACCGACTCCGGATACCCCACCATTCCGGTCTGGAAAACGAGCTCTCCGGCGATGCTCTTCTGGGCACCGAAGCTGTAACCCTGGTAGACGGTGCCATCGGGCAGCTCCAGAGCCATGAGGCCCTCGTCATCGGAGCCGACAATGCGGGCCGCAGCCGGGGGGTAGACGGTGGGCGACATTTTCGGTTGTGGAAGGAGGAGTTTCTTCTGGGTGATGCGGGGCACAGAGAAAATTGACGGGTGAAGAAACTCTCGGAGGGAAGAGGGTCTAAAGCAACAACGATGTGAAAGAAAGAAGTGCTAGAGAAAGTGACAGCAGCGAGCTCGTCAAAAGAGTCTCGTAGGTTGGTTCTGGAGCTCCCCAGCGATCATCTGCCACGATAGATCTTCGGGAAGTTATGCGAGTTTCTAGACAACCATTGTCGGAGAAAGAAAAAAGGAAAAAGAGAGAAGGAGGAAGAGAAGAGCCAAACAGCAGGACCCAAAGACTTTTACCTTGCTCTGACAGTGAGAAAAAAAAAATTCATCTGGTTACCCCCCTCCTCCATGCTCAGGGCCTTCCCTCGCTGGGGGAGGAATTTAAGAGTGGATTGACCAATGATACAGGCAAAATCCCTGGACGGTGGAGTCCCGGCTACGTTGACACAGATCTGCAACTGAAAAATTACGGCTTGTGCTTCACCGAAATCGCAGGCGGTCAGTTATCAAAGGTCTAGCGCTATCTACCAAGTGGGCAGAAAGTGGCAGAAAATGGCGGTAGGTTTGGGTCATTGCCGCTTCTAGCCATAGGGCGGGGGAATTAGCCCCGCGTCACCAGCACCAAAATTCACCAATGCCACCAACAGCCCGCCCGGATGGCTGAGGTTGCAGAATTTTGTCGGTCTTGTCCCTGCAGAAATTTCTTTCCTCACCTCAAATTCACCTAGCTTGAGTGGCCAGTGGTGAAGAACCTAAAGCTGTGAGAAAACGGTGGCTGGCCACGAGTGGACCGGCCGCTTGTGAATCACTTCCAAAATTGGCCGAGTCCACGATTGGAATGGACCAGGCTACTTGCAATAGTATGTCCCCCAAATAACCTTGCAAATCGATACCTTGCGATCGATGTAGTGATTTATTACGAAGGCGTACCTAGGGCCTTGGGCTTACAAGCGTTTGGTAGCCGTGGCTCTTTTGAAGCATTGATGTGTGTGCTGGCTTGTAAGCTTATTGCGTAATCACTTCCATGTTACTACGTACTAAATATGAGTGGAAAATCCGATTTTGACCTGCGCACACCGGCCAAGGTGAGAACAGCTCTCACCTGTTTTCACCTGGCCATCGCCGATGCCGGTGCTGAGTTTTTGGCGGGGCATTCCTCTCGATTTGAGGTAGGTATGGGCAGCTGGGGCAACAACCCACCCCCCGGACTGGAAAATGCTTCGGATTCATCGAGACCTCGCAATGTCTAAATACTTTGCTTACCACATAGTTTCACTCTGAGTAATCACACCTTAGTTCTTTGCTTGAAAATTGGCCATGAGAAAATCCAGATTGGCAATGGCCACTGGTAGAGTGTTACGCATATGTATCTCGCCTCAATGAGTAAATAAGCCGTCGCGACAAAAAAAAAAAACCACGGTGGTGTTTAAACCCATGCTTTGCGTTTTACACGGCGCCAATTCGAGTCCAGCCCCTCATCAAATACCATTTTTGGAGCATCTTTGGAGAAACTCTCGGCACCTTGTATTAAGGAACGGACAATGCGGATGACTTGACGTACTTGCACGTGCCATACTTATGTCTTATACTGGTTGATCGGAATGTGATATTCTCACTAAGTAGTTGAAATAAACGGCAACTGAGTGTTGTAGCGTGAGTAGGCAGGTCAAGTGACGGAAGATGACATTCCATTGGACGCTTCTAATGGACCCCACGGATCTCACCCAGCACATCATCTCTGACAGGGCGGCTCCCCTGTAAGCAGGACAGCTTACTAGCTGTACGAATAAGCAGGACAACTTACTACGCAGTAGCTGTAAGCAGGACAGCTTACTAGTCTCGGAAGAGCCTGGAGCATGAATGCTTGGCTAAGCCAGTTGGGATTTAAGAGGTCGAAAGGAGCCAAAAAAATGGGAGCAAGAACACAGGCCGGCAAGGTGGAGGCTTGACTCGTGAGGCTTGTACAATGCGAGGGAATTTGCGAAATTTGCTGTTGCCGGGCCTGCAGATTTGCGCTGCGGTGTGGTCAATTGGTGGAACGCATAGAGTTCGCGATACTGGCCTGGGTATGGCGGCCTCTACCCTGCAATATCTATTCGAGATCTGAATCGACATAAATCGCCGATGGCCGTGTTGGTCTCAATGTAAGCTGGCATGACGGGCGTCTGCTGAGATTCCGTGCATGGCTTGGACGAGTTGATGAGAAGCACACCAACCATCTCATTCTCTCCAGAAGGATTTCGGCAACCTTGTGTAAGTGCGAGCTGTGTGAAGGTATCGTTGAGTCTTGTCACACGTACTATGTTCTTGAGCCAAATGTTTTGTGCGCCTGCCTCAACTTCAACTCAAGTAGCTGTGCCTCTGATCGCTCTCGGGAACCAAAACAGCGCAAACGGGAAGCACTCCCTTCCCGTTCTTTGAAGGCGGGATTGCCACCACAAGGAGAAAAAAGGACTGGAGGAGTAGCATGGAGTAGAAACGACAATGGTGTGGAAGCAGGGGCCCGTCGAGAGCAAAATCCCGGCGGTGTCCCCCAAATGCAGCGTCGCACCCTGGGCCAGAACAGGTGCCATCTGTGCATCCGTGTGTGTGGGATGCCAATGGCGGTGACGGCCCCCGTAGGCCAATCAAGCGAGGGAATGGCTCGAGGTGTGCTGCTGATCCTGTGGGGGGCTTGAATTCTTGGAGCTGGAGGATGCAACTCAAGCTTCACTGTTGCGACTCTGGGGCTCTCGAGGTGAGGTTTGCTTCACTGGTTGCTGACCGACTCGCCCTGTTTCTCCTGCGAACTGTGCTAGTTTTCAGGCTAGCGGTGGAGAGACATGTCGCATTGGTTTTGTGACTGTCTTGAACTGAGGATGCCGAGTGAGGCGTTGTGATTCAATTTTGGAAAGCAACGGAGTAGAACCGCGAATCGACCCATGACAAGGGCCCAGCCGCCCAGGCCAGTCAGTATCCAAGCATCGTGTGTCACGCATGTCAAGTGACGATGCGCGGCCACGGATGCAGCCTATCTGCCAGGTCGAATTTTTGAAATTGGTCCACGCATTGAATGGCAGCTTCGGCAACTCTTGGGTCTGCTTGGTACGTCTTTTTGTTCGATCCCCTTCTCATTCTCGCCCTTTGGCTGCCGAGTGTAATTACATAGCCTGCCGGTTGTTGTAGAGATGACCATAAAGGATACTGGGAGAAGAAGGAGGCTACGGATGTTGATCCGGACGACGTCGGGGAGGAAGCCGCAGATACAGTCATGGATGCAGAGGCACGAGAGGCAGACGCAGGCACCTGTACCTGTGTGTCTGGCGGTCGATTGTCTCTTGTCTGACAGAGCGGGACGGGGACGGGTGTCTGAGTGCGTCGGGTCTTCGGAGTGTTTGGCGCTTGTGTGTCGGGGTCTCCTTCTTTTTCGTCCTAACAAAGTCATGCGGTTGCATGTCTCGCCCGTTTTTCATCTGATGTCGTCGTCGTCGTCGTCGGTCTTTACTTTTCTCGTGTATGTGCGTGCCTTTGCAGAAATGTGGCTTAACTGACATGTTATTAGCATGCATGTGCAGTTTATTACAGAGTATGCCGATATGGTATGGACACGGATACTGGGGGTTTTTGATTCGGAGACTCGGCAATATGTATCCCTTTTTCCCCCTTGCCCTTTGTTGTTTTGATAGCAAAACACGCCTGGCTGCACCAAAGGCAATTAGTAGTTGGTAAGTTGATGCGACGGGAGTCTTGCAAAAGACCTGCAAAGACTCGGGCGGTCTACGTACTCGTGCTAGGGAGGTAGTTTGGCGTTAAAACGTCTAGGCTGGACGATGGATCGGCTTTCAGGGTAGCAAACGAATGTCGACACAGACATGGAGCTCCCCCGGGCCTTTTTTTGATTGTGTCATTTCGCAGAGCGGACTGGCCCCGGTGCGTACCCAGTTGCGGTGCTGCGGCGATGCGTGAATGTGGACGTGGGCATCATGAAGTTCCGGGGTGTATGTGCTAGGATGAGGGAGCACTTGCAGCCGCAGGCTCAGGAAGCTTCCATTTGATTTGGGTCCTGCCTCCAGTTTTCCCACTCCAGTCTCCAGTGCTCTTTCCAATTGACCACTGACCAGAACGCTCTTGCAAGTTGAGGTGAAGCAGGAAGCAGCAAGTCAAGCAGCAGAAAGAGGCAGAGGTGGGCGCATCTTGCCTGACGCACTTTCCATTGTGGCGCATTGGCAGCGTTGGAACCCCCCACTTTTTAGAGGCCAACTTCCCACGCCCAGGGATCTTGCGCTAGCCCATTCCTGACTCTCGAGCGGCCCAGGCGTGCCAGGCGAGAAGCTCTGGATCTTGGATGCCCCGTTTACTCACTCCATCACTGCCACTTTTGTTCACTTCCATTCGATCCTTGGAACTTGGAAGGGCAAGCCCAGCCTGCCACGATGCGAGCGAGAACCACGACATTTCGCGACGCTGCATCTCCACTCGCCCCAGTGGCGCGCCGCGTTTCCTTTCCTTGATCCTCACCTGCGCACTTTACACACGTACGGCATACTTCCATGTGTGTGCTCATGTTCGGTTGTTGGTAAGTTGGTTAGGCTGTGTGGACAAGACATCGGATGGTGGGTGGTAAACGGTCTTGAATGGCTAAAACCCAGACTCCTTATCGCAGTCTCTCCCCTCTGTCGCTATCGTCACCGGTTATGATTTCCTCGTTGCAAGAGGTCATCGATGCAGGCCATCTTGCTTCGAGGTGCTTCGCTTCTGGCCTGCATTTGCAGCTGGGGTGCATACCTACGTACATACGGAGTACCATGTACGGATACGTCCCATACCTTAGCGATTCAAAGTATACATGCATACGGATACTTGGAAATATATACATACCTAGACAGGAGGTGAACATCATCCCATACATAGATCCATACCTTACTCGGAACGGATACCTTACGGGCATCCTGTTACTCGCCTGTTCCTTGCCTTCCCGTCCCCTACCGGCGTCGACTGCCTCATGCAGTATCACTCGCCTTTTAGCACTCTACCTGTCCGACTACGCTAAAAATCGCATCGTCCTCGTAAGAATCTCGATCCGCGCTCCACGCGCCTGTTGCTTACCCGTGTCTCGTGAACACAGGTAAACTGACCTATGGGGGGGGGGGGGGTTAGCTAACCACCCCACATATTTTTAATTTTCTATCTATATACTATAGGTTAGGTTATGGGCTATATACTAAAATAGAAATTTTTAAACTTCTCTTTTTATATACCTCGGATAGAAATTATAATTATATTAAAATAGTTCTAAATCGGTTTAGGACTAATTTAGAACTTATTTAGAATAGCTTTAATAAATTCGCTAAATAATAAGGGTATTTTTCTTAAACTTAAATTACTAGTACTACTTTTTAACCCTTATTATTTTAATTAATAAGTATAAAATAATCTTAATATATTTTAAGAATTCTATAAAAATAGTAGTCTATTTAGATAAGAAGAGGTAAGACTTTTTTTAAACTATTTCTAAACTTATTTTAAATAGGTTTAGAACCTTTTTAATAAAACTTTTAAAATATTACTTACTTTAATTTTTATTAAAGCTATTATAAGTAGGTACTAAAACTAATAAAATAATTATTAAATTATAATATAAAAGATTATATATTATAATTAATTAATATAGTATTTAGAGATAAGTAAAGAAGGTATTATATACTATATTAATATACGTATTTTATATCTAAAGGATATTAAAGTATTATAAAGAACGGTATATAATACTTTTTAAAGTTATTCTAAACTATTTCTAAACTAATTCCTAATTTAATAGCTTTAATATAATAATACTCGTTTAGTACTTTTAAAAACTACTATATCCGCCTTTTTATAAAATTAAATTTATAAACGCTTTACGTATTATTATACTAATAATAAAGCGTATTTATATTTTAACTAAACTTTATTTTATTAAAACTATACTTAAGTTATAAAAGATATAGCTAAGGATATTACTTCTATACGTAAACGTATCTATAGGATACTATTAAAAAAAAGAGTAATTATATAAGTTTTCTAAATCAATTCTAAACTAGTTTAGAAATAGTCCTTATTAATTATTTTTATAAGTAAGTAAAAGCATAGCTTAGATAATTCAAAATAAATACTTCTTATACCCTATTTTATAAAAATTATAATATAGAAGTTATTAATAACTAATATAGTATATATATATTATTCTAAACTAATTTATAACTTATTTATAACTAATTCCGAATCTTTTTAATACATTCTTAGTACTTAATTACTTACTATATAGTATATTTATAAAAATCTATATAGTAATAGCGAAAACTATTATATTAAATTTCCTCTTATTAAATACTAAGCTTATTTACTTTTAATACGCTCTATATTATAAAGAGAAGAGGTTAATATAATAAGGGGAGAGGAGTATTACTTTTTTATAAATAATAAGCGGAAATTATAATATTATAATAAGCTATTTCTAAACCTATTCTAAATATATTCCGGAATAATTTTAATATAATTTAGATATAAATTATATTATCCTAGAAGAAATTCTCTAAATATTATATCTAATAAAATAGAACTATTAGGTACTAGTTAATATTATTATAAAACTAGTAATTATTTTAACTTTTTATAGTACCTATAAATACCCCCCTCTACCGCCTACCTAAATACCTAAGAGTATTTATTTAGAACTTCGGAATATTATAAAAAAGATTAGTTAATTAAGAAGCGGATTAAATAAAAAAAACGTTCTAAATATATTTAGAATTAGTTCTTAACTACTTTTAAATATATTCTTATAATTAAAAGAGCTTATTAAGCTTTATAATAAATTTTATAGTCGGACTATTATAGAGATTTGCGGTGCCCTTAGTAATATTAATTAGTTTATAAATATTATATAAATATAAAAAGCCCTTTATTTTCTAACTAGGTTATTTTACTTAGTTATATAAAACGAGTATTAATATATATAAGCCCGTTATTATATTAACGTAAGTATTTTATAGAACGTTAAGAACTATTTCTAAATTAACTCCGAATTAATTTTAACTTTTTTTTAATATATTTAATATTTTGATAATAATAGCTATAATCATATTTATATTACTTTCTATTTAAAGTAAGCTAAACTTTAGAAAAAGAATACCTTTTTGACTTTCTAATTAAATACAAATTATAAGTATATTAAGGGCTATAATAAAGTTAAGGTTATTTAGAGCTAGTATAATAAAGTTTTTTAAAAAGTGTAATGGATTCGGGATGCGACCGGCGATAGGACGCCGATGACTTAGCGACCGGTGTACGGATCGCATTATAGAAAAACTTTCTAGGAAGTAGAGCCTATACGAAGGACCCTGCAAGCTTTAGTCTTATAATATACCTATACCTATATTATAGCCTTGCTAATTAAGTGCTCATAGCCTAATCTCTTATAAAAAGGTTCTAAAGCGATTCTAAATTTATTTTAAAATATTTTTAAACTATTTACTAACTTTTTAAATAGCTATTTTACTCTTCTAAGTTTTTATAAATATAAAGAGTACTAAAATATATTAAAAGATATATTAACTCGTTTTTTAAATTCTTAAAGAGCGTTTTAGGTATATTATTTAATAAAAATATCTTTCTAAATATAACTAGGGGTTATTAAGTATTACTATTAACTAAGATTATAAGAACTTAATTAATAAGTTTATAAAATCTTTTTATATAAGGTTTAGAATTAGTTTAGAACTAATTTAGAAAGGGTTCGGTTAATATTTATTTCTTAATTACGATTTATAATACTACCCTTAAGAATAGTAAGTTAAAAAATATATTCGATTTTACTTAGTTTATTTCTATCGTAGTATTAAGAAATACGTTCTAAAAAATCGCTCTCTAAATTTAAAATAAAATTAAATAAGGAGTATTTTATTTTATTAATTAAAAGAGGACTACTTTTTATTATATAGTTAATTACGAAGTAAAATAATTCGGAACCTATTTAAAAAGGGTTTATAACTAATTTAGAATCGATACTAAGTAATTTATTAATTTTATTTTAGGCTTAATATAAATCCTAGAGAAATATTATAACTAAACTTAACTAGAACTATTTATAAATACTTCTTAAAAATTAGGATAAGTTTTATATTTATATTAATACTATAAAAGCCCTTTATTAAGCTTTGTATATATAAAATAATCGTTTCGTCCTATTATTAATTTATATTTAAAAATAGGTCCGAATCCTTTTTAAACTAATTTAGAACTAATTATTATATTTAGATCTAGTGAATATAATAAATATCTTTTTAAATAAAATACCCTTTTTTTAAAATTAAATATTTATTTTATTTAGTAGGATATATTTATTATTAAAACATATTATACCTTAGTTAGTTATTTAAATATAAACCCCTTAGAAATATTTACGACTAGATTTAGAACTAATTCTTAATTAGTTTAGGAACAAAACGTTAACGTTATTTAGAATAATAAGAAATAGCTTTATATAAATAGTATATAGGGGCTAATTAGTAATTTATTAAATTATTATTTTATAATTCTTTAAGCCTAGTACCTTTTAATATAAGTTTATATAGCTAGTTAAAATTTAGGAATTAGTTATAGTTATAATAAAGAGTATAAAATTTATTCTTAAGCCCTTTAAAACTTTTTCTAAATAGATTATAAAGTTTTTCCTAAATAACTTTTTTTAGTACTATTCGTTAAGATTTACGTTATATATTTATTATAAATTTATAAAGCGAGGTTATTTAAAGTTAAAATAAGGATATTACTAAGTATTATGCTTTATTAAATATTTAAAAAAGGGAGCTACGTTTAGAAATAAGCTAATTAAAGCTTAAGGAAAAGAGATTATAGTTATAAGAACTATAATAAAAACTTTAGAAATAGTTTAGAATCGATTCCGGATTACTTTAGACCCTATTCCCTTCTATTTTATAATATTTCTTAAAAATAATATAATATAAAAACTAAAGTTTAAATATATTATATATATTATATATATTTAATAAAGTTATAGTTATTTAATATAGTAGTTTTTTTTTCTGGCTTTATAAGTATAAAAAATCGACTTTAACGGGATTACGCTTTTAAAGGAAATTATATAATACGGTATACTTTTTAACTATATAATATACGTAATATATCCTAAGTACGCGCTTAACGTAATATAGTAATTTTAATATAAAAACCGCTATATAATTCGGGATAAGTAAGCTATTGCGGCGGCGCTAGTTAAAAAGGTTAATAATAGAGGTTAGCTATAATAGTTAGCTATAATAGTCGGCTATAATAATTAGAGGCAGCCCTTAACTATAAAGGTTCTAAACTTTAATAATAACGTAAAGGTTTTTAAAAAAAGGGCTAAATAAGCTAATATTTACTACTCTTTAGAGCTTATAAAAATTCTTTTTATCCTTATCGCTTTTAATATTACCTAAAGCTTTATTTAAACTAAACAAATCTATTAAATAAATTTACTAAATAAACCTATTAATATATAAACTATTACTTTAATAAGAACCTACTCTACTCCTAGTATATAGTTAGTAATTAGTAAGCTAAAAATACCCGTTAATAAGTCTACCCCTCTCGGGCTAAGTACCCTCAGCTAGCTTAACGCTATAGCTATCGTAGCTAATATAAATACGCTTAAAAAGTAATAAAATACTTTTTAATAATACGGAATCCGGCTAAGTAATAGTACGAATACTATAAATAGCCGGGTTAATACGGATATTAAAATCTAGTATATCGACGCTAACTTAGAAATTATATTTTATAAAATTAAAAATCCTTTTAATATAAGCTATATTATAAACGTAAGGGAATATATAAAGGGCCCCCTAACCCTCGATAAGAAGGAGTATATAATATAGGATCTAGCTACCTACGTGGGCTAGTACTAGGAGGTTTTATATACGTTAGAATAGGTATAGCTCGCCCTCTAAACGGCTAGAATTATACGGGGGAAGGTCGGGAGCTATTTTAATTAGTAATTAGGTATAGAGCGTAATATACCTAGTTTTCCCTAATACGTAATACATAGTACGGCCCCGGCGGATTGCTCCGTTAGGGGATAGTTATTTAA